GCTAGGGTTTAACAGGTTAATATAAATATGTAGGCTATGTCAATAAATAATGTACCTGTAATGATAAAAGGACCTTCAGATAACCAAAATTATAAACAAAGTTAAAAAGTTCCACCAACTAAAGAGGTTTCCCTAACCACATTTGACAAGAAACCATGATCTCCATGATCTCTCATGATATATGTAAGTAAGTCTCGAGATGAGACATGTGACAGTTCTGTCGAAGGCCGTAATCATACAGCACATTGAACCTGTGACTACAGTCAGAAGCTGAAACTAACCACCCTGGTTAAATACTGTGACTTGACATGCAACCCATATGACCCATCTTTGTGGCAGTTTCGACATAGTTACTGTTAGAGCCACTGTTCTGTAACTGTACTGCCAGACAGCATGACAATAGTCAGTTTGCAGTCTTACATGTAGAACTTGCTTTCGGAAAAAACAAAACAACAGGGCATCAAAGTCAAAGTTTACCGTCACTCGTCTCCTGGGGGGTTGGGTCACTGGCTTGCCACCCATCAAACTCTGGCTCTAAATCAGGACGAGTCATCCAGCTGTCCACCCAAACATGGAAGTTCCTGGTAATAATAAATAAATAATATATAAATATAGGACAATAACATTAACATTTGGCTTACTAAAAACAAAGGTTAATCTTATCATGTAAAATAATAATAATAATGGAACACGTAAAAATTATGTACTATTGAAAGACAAAGTTGTGTTTATGTGTAACAATTTGGTAATAGTCACTACCGCACACTCACCATATTGAATCACCGTCAGAAAGGCTTTCACCATCTTCATCATATAAGTTTTCTATCTTCAGGTTGGCGTTAGTATCATGAGCCGATCCAAAGTTAGTAACCACTCGACATGGGATGCCAAGGGCACGGGACACTGGAGGAGGAAGGAGGGCCACACTTCAACTCACCAGCTAACTAAAGCACATACTTGAGATAGCATTTGTCATCAAAGACTGACATTTAAAATACTGTCATGTGATGACTAAAATGCCACATGCCATAAGATTAGATCCTAAATTTATGTTTTTGATAAAAAAGGTTGGATTGTGTGGAAGTGGAAGTGGACTGGAGGATATAACTGTGTGCATCAGCCTGTGCTTCAAAATAAATGCTTGGATGAATCAGTAATTTTACAACAAACTGAAGAGTGTCTGAATCCACAGACAGACAGACAGACTGTGCTCCAACCTGTGCATGCAACAGCAGCAAAGACCCAACATTGGCCGTAGCGGACGGGGCCACTGTTTGCCCACTGGCGCAAAATGTCACCGCTGCCGATCCACAGTCCTGGATGGACCCCACCTGAAAACTCTCCCCACTCTCCCACCAGCACACCGCTGTCATCATTACTATTTATCTGTGGGCACAGGCAGAGAGCAGAAGGACCACAAGTGGATGAGAGAATGGGAATCAAAGGTATTTTGTCATTTTGCCAAACTTGTTTGCTAAATGGTATGCTTAACGATTTTTCATTTGCTTTTCTAAACTCCAACTGTCCATGAGTGTCTTATGGGTAACATCTCTTCAATGATGCTTGCACGACTACTTAAATATATGTCATAAATATAGTGCATGCCCCTGTCATAATGATCAACATTGTCTCTTGGAAAAAGCATGGTACAGATTTATTGTACAGTGACAGCTACTGACCCAGTAGAAATAGCCCTGGATTTCTCATTAGGCTATTTTGACTTGCAGCAGGCTTTATTCTTACTTTATTCTCACTCTAAAACTCACCTCTATTCACTAGCTTTCCTAGTCCCCTAATCCTTCTTATCCATTCTGGTCCCTTGTGTGTCGTGCTTGTACGGTTCTATATTTTTCTTATCTGGTACCAGCACTTTGCTCCAGTGCATAGCCCGTGGTGTTAAATGTCTATAACGCTAAACTCTCTGACTTACTTACTTACTTACTTTATTTACACTGCTCTTTGCCACCTGCTTAGAATCAGGGGTATCATATGTTAAAAACTCCCGTTTTAGCTGAACAAAGTTGCCTGGAGAAAAGAGAGAGCTTCAGAAGAATGAGCACAGTTGCCCTGCAGAACTAAAGAATATAGTAGAGCAGATGGGGGGTTTTCTGGTGCACCATGGTAATCTGTGCCTACACTGCCAAAATAACGACTTTTTCACATACTGGTTAAAATCCAAAGGGCCTCAACTCTTTGTAAAGCCTAGACAGAGACCCTACCATAGCACTCAGAACCCTGGTCACATAGATGGGATTTCTCCTGGCAGAGCAGTCCTCGTCAGCATCAGACTCAAATTTTGGGTTGTCATCCAGGATCTTCAGACAGATATCCAGTATATCTTTGTCAAACTGCAGGCAGACAGCAAACAAACAGAGGAGAGGGAAGGAGAGCAGTTGAGCAGCATAACCCTTAACTGGGTAACCTTTATGTAATGAAATCCTACATTCATAAATGTAACTGATATTAGAACAGTGCCATGTTCATTGCTTTTTTCAGGCACAGTGAAAAAGCATTTGGACATTATAGTTTTACTATGTACCTGTCCAAAGTTCCAGGGTGTTCCTTTGATTCGTTTATATGTTCCTCTGTAGATCTGCCCATATTGTGCTAAAACATATTCCTGCCTCTTCGTCTCACTGCGCATGAAAACAGCATCTCCTGTCAGACAGAAAAAATACATTCAGACTGACATTATAGCATCCTATATAACATCTCAAAAAGCTCACAAAGTCTTTTAACTTACATTTAGTTTTGCAAATTAATTTAAAATATAAGCTGCATGTAGAGCATTACAAAACAAACCATCATCTACAAATTGGAGGAAAAACTAACTTTATGTACTTACTGGGGCACCAAGCATTAAAAAGCAGGATGAACAGTCCTAAACTGGTTTTCTGCCCCTCCTGGTCCAGAGTCAGAGAATAGATGCCTATGGGGGCGTTGGGCGAGGAACTGATAGACACAGTTAATGTGTTTCCAGAGGGAACATTAGTGGCAGATGCGCTCCACTCAGTGTCCACTATAGAGTCACGTAGACCAAAAGAAACCTTAGTGTCCGATTCTTTTCTGGGTAACGGACCTGGAGAGACAGAGATTGGCAGGAATATAGATGAAGGAAACACAAATCCTTGTGAACACTCTTGGAGGCACTCATACACAGCCCCCTCCAAACATTTCTGTTTCACATATATAAACATGAACACCTAATTACTGTGAAACAAGGCGCTTACCAGTTTCAACGATGAGCGTGAAGCTTGTTTCAGCCAGTGTGAACTCTTTGCTGCCAGGCTTCAGATGTAGAATGATGTTAAAGGGCTGTCCCCTTCTGACAATCAGACGCTCCTCTCCATACAGCTCTGTATGATGGCTGCTGCTGTTGCTCTTAATGTCCAGATCACAGCGCTCAATGTCTAAGACTATATGTAGAGATGGACACACAGATCACTTGTCACATCAAAAAATTCAACTAACTAGACTTGATGACTTTATCATCAACAAGTTTGATCACGTCTCAAAGTTTCTTCACAGATGATAAATCATTGCCCAAAGCAGATAGTGTTCCTCTGTGTCCCACATCTGATTTATCTAATGTCACCACCATTCCTGCTCATCACATTTCACACACTTTCTCAATCTGATACTTTGTGAAGTAACACAGAGAGAAACACACACCCCCCTATTAACTTTAAAACCTCTGTCCTACAATATGAGACTAAAATAGTTTTCCTTCTTCCTTACCTTGGCTCATGTCTGCAGTGAAGTCGTTGTCCGTCAACTTCTGTGTGGAAGCTTCAGCTGCAGCCTGTGCTAATGACCCTGCAAGTGCAAAGAACTCCTGAGGGATATTTGTAGCATGTGGAACCTGATCTTGACACCCCCATCTGTCTATTGGTTGCACCAGTAAGTCTGTATTAGTCAGGAGGAGCAAAGAGAATTACAACACCTCTTCCTCTTTCCTATTTAATTTGACTATGGGCTTTAAAGCTATTGTAAAAGCTTTCAACTCAAAGAGCATAAATTGTTACCAAAATGAGTCCTTAGCCACCAAATTTTGATCTTTTTATTGTGTGTCACATAATATATAACATAATACAACAACACATAACACACAGATTAAAAAAATAAAAAACGAAAAGAAACTTTGTTCATAAGTTATTTATTTATTATTTAACATTCTGTATATTAACGAATGATTCAACAAAATGTTATAATTCAGAAAGAATCGAACATTTTTAAATTACACTTCATAAGGCAAAACAGAAAATAACACATACAGTGAACATTTTTAAGCAACTTTTAAGCAAGAAATATAAGTCACACAATTGTTGTAAGGTCAGCATGTCGAGACTTTCACTTTGACTTTTGAACTTGAGGAAGTTGTAAATAGGTCATGAAGCTGCAACTTGACTGTGCAGAACTGAAACAGATTTATACAGCAGTGTTTGTTATCTGCACACAGGGCAATAAAAGCTTTTGCAATAAGTTCCTGCCTGTGGAATATTTGTGTCTGTGGAATAAGGAAGAAAAAGCACACATTTACGAAAGAAGAAATTCAGAGGAAATCAAGTAAGCAATAAAAAAAAGTGAAAGAAAGCAGAAACGGATCTACCATGTCATAAAAGGTCAGTGGCTTTAAAATAAAACAATCAGAGGTCAACCATTATGACCTCAGTTTTTCAAGATCCTGTCATGATTTGCACACTGTACATTTCGCACAGACAATAAAATCACAGAGCTTACAAAATAATGACAGTGTTTCAACATTAACTTGTTAAAAAAAAACAAAAATACATTTAAATAATCTGAAAAATACTTTTCTGTAATGGTCATTTTCATGAGAGTAAAGCTGGAACATTGATCAGTATCAGTATGGAACCATTAGTGGACCCTAAATATCAGTAAGTGGTTTTTGCCCGAAAACTTGAATATACTGTGTCTGTTAGTGTGCAGTTTGTGTGGTTAATATAGTTAACCCAGCGATTTCAGATCTTCTGTATTAAATCCATGAGTTACATAGTAATTCAAATCTAGATGTGAAACCATGTAAGTGGCCTGTCCCTTCTGATAAATTAATAAATACAGGACTACTGTAAGAGTCAGAGCCAGACAGATATATCTTTATATGTTAATTACTATATATTAATCATTACACCGTCGAAAGATTTTACTTTTACGTATATGGACAAATAACCACATGTTTCTCCATTTATGGTCAGCTTTAACTTTGTGTCTTCAGCTAGTTCTGGGCTTATGGCCAGTGGATAGCTCTGGAGCTCTGAACTGCATCTTGGACTGCATTAAGTTTCCCTTGTGATCATGTAACCAAAACAATGTAGTTCAGCTGTCAAAAGATAAATTATACACAATTTCTTCCCAAGCAAAGCTTTGCCACCTTGCAAAGAGCGATACACTTTACTTGTGCCACTGGACTGAAGTGATTTACTCTCAAATACAGATGCTCATCCTTGTGTGTTTGTCCCACATAATCTGTTTATTTTAGTGACAATAATAAATACAACCTTCTCTTCGTTGATCCCTGCATATCAATAATTGTACAGACTGTACAGCACAGAAGATCCTACAAAATATATCAGAAATGTTTCCCTTGACATCTCATTGTGTTTTTGTAGATGGCACGAATACCTGCTCGTTATTAAATGTGTAAGCAAAAAGCATGTTTTACTTCAGTTAAGAGACAGTTAACCATGTAAAAACACATGGTTTGTTTATCTCGCAACAATTATGATTTGTTTTATGAGGATGAACTGTTGAATCTTGAATTGTTGGTGACTTTATGTATAGTGGAAAAAAATAAAAAATATGTTTTCTTCATAACATTTTAATACATTGTATCTGTAGAAGCTGATGCTTAGTTCTATATGAAAATAAAAACATGGTTGGGGATGAAGATGATTCTGCTGGAGCAAAGGACCAAGACACATATTTGTGTTTGTGGGTTAATATTGCATGTCATTGAAATATGACCCATGTATCACACACGTAGCAGTCTCTTCCTCTTCTTATATGGGTTATATCAGTCTGCATGTGATATAAGACAACCACAATTGAATGATTGACATTTGATACCAACATGCCAAACTTCAGTTTGTTCAATAAATCATTTAAAACAAAACCTTGTGACCAGACAGAGCTGACTTCCTTGTGACTGTTTAGCCACTCAATTAACTGTTTGTCTGCAGGGTGACCAGAACAGCTTCAGAGGAGTGAAGATCTGCAACAATATAAAAGTCAGATTTTAAAAAATGTCTTTAATTTTGCTAAACATTTTACTCATCCAAAGATCTGTTTGTTAATTTCAGAACATTCTCACCTTCTGCAGGATCCCAAGATTAAACTTCTGTGGATTTTCCGATTATAATGTCATCACTCTGCGATACAATATATAAAATATTTTAATTCAATAAAATGAAAACAACCCCATAGAATAAGTTCTTGGTTAATAATACCGATTCTGAATACTGACAGAATTTTTTATCTTGGTACTAACACACATTCAGACCATTTTCAAACCTTCACAACTTCTATCACTGGAGAAATAACCTGTGAGTCCTCTACCTGAACATTAGCCAGATGTGGAGGTTTGGGGGTGACACCTGGCTTCTTTATGGTAACCACTGGAGAGCTGTTTCTCCTTAGGCTCGGGGTCCGACAGAGTGGTGGTCGAGACTTTGAACTCTGGGATACAAATGAGGAGGAGTCGTCCACTACCTCTGCACCAATGGCAGACAGGCAGCTGCGGTCTGAGCTGCTGAAGAGGTTGATGCATTCTGTGGATGATTCAGTGCTGTCCACTACAACAGAAACACAACTGATACTTTGAAAAACAATGGCGGCAGAGGTTTGTGCATTACTTGACACACTGAGAACATTTATACAAGTTCAAATCCCATAATGGCATCTTACAATGAATAGATCATTGAGAGGAAAAATGCACATTGTCCAGTTGTGGCACATATCAGTAATCAAGTAATTCACAGTGTCATTCTTGATGCTACCACCAGATGGTGACAAACTAAGAACATTTAAAGTTCACAGTGACTTTAAAAATATCTCATATTTAAATGTCATACTACTTTAGTTTGATAATAAAACCTGTCCATAATATTTGATCTGATTTCCCTTAAAGAAATCAGATGTTTATTTAGAGTCTGAGGTGCTATTGAGCTAAGAAGTCAGAAGCAAACCGACTCTTCTGTCTTCCAACAAAATTATTTAACAAAGACCTTAACACAAACTCACTCATAGGATGATGAGCTTTCCACTGTTCACAGTTACGATGAAGATTATGCTGATGAAGATGCTGATGGTTGAGGTCGTTTTCAGTCACAGCCTCAGGGGAGGAGCAGACTGCTGGACCGGTCTCCACCCCTTGTGACTGGTTGCCGGAATAACCAGCAGGGGGCAGCGAGCCGCGGCCAGAAGAGGAAGAAGATTGGCTGAGGGTGGTGGAGGCGGTGCTGCCAGAGCCAATCGAGTGTGGTCGTGGATATTCTAAGCCCCTGTGTGAACAACACGCCACAGGGACTGACGACAGACATAGATAGATGTCATCAATGAAAACATAATGGGCTGTGTCAGAGAGCAATGATGGCACAAGCATGACGGTTATTTCAGGAAAATGTATTTTTAGTTTGGTTACATTTAGTTACTTTGTAAGCTAGTTTTGTTTTGTTAATCGTAACAACATGTAAAATATGTTAATATAATGAAAACCCTTTTTAAAAAGGAAACATCTAAAAATGGACACAAGATTAAGATTCTACTACCATGCTAGCTGCTCTGTGAAGTTGAACTTTGGCCCAGCAGTGCTAAATGCTAACATCAGCATGCTAACATGCTCCCAATGTAAACATGCTAATGTTCATGCTACCATTTGCTAATTAGCACAGCAGAGGCTGATGGGAATTTCATTAGTTTTGCAGGAATGTGGCCATAAAACAAAGTATTGGACAAATTAAAATGTCAACCTGATGATGGCACTAGATGAAAAGTGAGGGAATCAGCAGAGTTATTACAATTCATCCTGAGGCGGCTATGATTGTTTGTACCTAATGTTATATCAATCCGTCAACAGTTTTGTTTTGTTGTCAATAAAAAAAAACTAATGTGAACCTCATGGTGGCTCAAAAGGAAGAGTTGAGGGATCACCAAATTCAGTAGGGTTAATCCCATGAGGACAATGAATGTGTGCGACTAATTTTGTGTCCATCCATCCAATTATATTTGAGATACTTGAATCTGGTCAAAGTGGTGGACCAAACAACCGCCACTGCAGGCTAAAAACATTTCTAATGTCAATCTCTACAAGAAAAAACAAATACACAATTTAAGTACTATTTAGACCTCTAAGTTAAACATTAAAGAGGGAATATACCTGAAATGTCTATTAAAATTGTCCATTTTACTGCAAAATGAGTAATTGCTGTAAATAAATACAGTTTGTCAAAAGTTGAACCAGGAAGTGAATCTGAAAAATCAAACAGATGCTTTCAATGTTCAGTTTCACGTTCCCAAATAAGTAATTTATTAGTATCAGTGAATCCTGAAACCTACCAAAGCCTGTGGATTTATTGTATATGATGAAAAAAGTGGTACTATAGTTTGTTTAGAGAATAAAGATAAAAATGTTTTCACTTTCTCTGTTGTAACAATGCATTTTGTGTGTGATGCTCCTTACTTCTCCCAGGCAGGACACAGCTGACGGCTCGGTCACAGATCGCAGCGTCACTGGGTTGAATGTCCATGAAAGGTTTGCGGCCCATACCCATGAACACCCTCTCCTGCATACGCAGCTCTGGAACATATGGTGTATTCACCAATAAAGCACTTTGTAAACTGTGCTACATAAATAAGATATGTTGTTGTTGTTGTTGTTGTTACCTCTACTGTGAGCGGCCTGATCCCACAGAATCTTCTCCAGGTCGGTGGTCCAGGCTTTCTTCACCTCCATGCTGGAGGCCTTCAGGGTGTAGGTGTCCTCACTTTTTCTCCTGCGGAACCAGATCTCAAAGCACAAACCGCTCACACTCGAGTTGTGGGTCATCCCGATGTCGCTCGTCTGGGAGACACAAAGAGACGCAGAAACAGAATATACTGAATATCATCAAGGAGAAAAATACGGTTGAGTAATACGGCTCCTACAGCCTTTTGAAGGATGTGTGCACACCTTGAATGACTGCTTGTAGACATAAACATCGTTGCCGATGTCTGTCCTCTTCGTCTTGCTGAAGAGGATGAGCTCTTCAAAGAGAAAGATGCGTCGAACACATTTCTTCTTCCTAAAGAAAACGGTGAACTCGTCCTGGCGAATCAGCTGGCCCTGTTCTTTTAAATTCACCTGATAGAGAAGAGAAATCAGAGTGGCTATTAACTTCATTTAACTACTGTTTATCGAGTATATATATATCTATCCTTTTAATATCTTACATCACACTCCTGGATGGCGTCCATGGTGAGCAGATCGTTGCCATGGCGCATCTGAAACCGAACCAGATCTGCAGCAGCTTGGATCTCAGCCCTCTCCCGCTCCTTCTCACCGCTCGTCAGATCAGGTACATACGCACCAGGGCCACACACACTTTGTGCACACACACTGGATGCGAGCAGTGTATCCTGGATCATGTCTTTTGGCCTGTATGAACCAGCCAGAGCCAGCATGTCCTGCAGCAGGAGGCTATACTTGCTGATCCTCTGGATGGGCCTCAGCAGGTAGGATGAAAGGTCCATCATGTCCCCCAGCTCCTGCTGCTTCCTCTGTTAAGGGAAACAAAAGGAAAACGTACAGTATTCCCAGGGTAAGGGGTGTGATGACTACTGCAGCTGTCAAAGATGAAAACTCTTTTAACTTCACTGATGAAATTATTGTGTTTTTCTGATGTTGTATGAGTTGCTTTAAAAGGAAATAATTTGACGCTAAGGAAGACTACATCTGCTTTAGAACAATTAAAATGCAAAACTCTTCCACTCATATGTTTCACTTAACAAAGGAGATGTAAACTGACCTTGAAGATGTCATGGCGACGGTGTAGGATCAGCGCGTCTGACTGAGGCTTGTTCTTGCTGTACAGAGCGTACAGGCCAAAACTCTCACTCTGTGGAAAGAGAAAAAATTAAACCATATTAGAAAACATTATTAATAAGCCAACTTTAACTCTTAGTAGCCACATACTGTACAACTGCAATGACAATTTTTAAATATTATTCGTCAGTCTACTGTGATCTCATCACATTTGGAGAAGTAGGGTGTAACTATTTATGTATATTACAGTTAGATAGTTAGTCCATTAGTTTACTAATTTTTTAAAAATTATTTCAATCATACAATAGAAATAAACACAATCAGATAAATAAATAAATTACTGAGAATTTCAAACATACAAAAAGGATGTACTACATATATACACAATTATATTCATTACAGTTACTACTAACGTGTCTGAGGAAGCAGCGGGCCACCATGGCGGGCTCCCTCTGGCAGGCCTCCAGCTCTGGCAGGAAGTAGTGGCTGTGGAAGTCGTAAAGCTTCTCCAGGTTGCCGAAGATGATGCCTCGCTTGCCCCTCAGGTCCTGGGGGATATCTGGTCTGTCCAGCAGGGGGAGGTAGTGTGTCAGGATGTAGCCCAGCGAGCGGACATACTCTCTCTCTGTGAACACCAGCTCCTCCAGGACACGCTGCAGCCTCCTGGTAACACAAACAGGACAGATATCTACTTTACAGTACATCCATTCATCTCAGTAATATACTTAATGATATACTAGTGGTAGTAATTGCATTTCATGTCCTCATCCTAATTAGTGAATTTGAAAATACCCAATTAGTGGGTTTTACCAAACCAAATTATTTTAGAAAAGTTGTTTGGGGGTGTTTATCATTTCCTGTTGCAGTGTTATTTATTGATTAATTAGATCTGCATTGGCTCTTTGTCTTTTGAAATATGCTTGTGATGAATTGACTGATAAATGAACTAAGGACTAATATTATCAGACTGTTTTACTGCACTCTCTGGGTCAAAATCTTAAGCCTGTTTCCCTTCTGACCACATCCAACAGTGACGTACAGGTGTACACCATTAGCATCTTTACATTTCAGCAGATGACACGTGATTTTACTCTTTCTACATGCACAGTGATAGAAAAGAGAAAAGTATGGATGGATTATGAGAACATCCTCCCAGCTCCTCTGCTGTCAAATATATTTAAATTGCTTTACTAAGTATAGGCTGGGCAGCAGTATTATGTCACAAAAAAGAAAAAAAGGAAAATACAATAATTGGATTGTAATCAGGATCAGCAGATTCTCGTTATTAAAATGACTCAAACTGTAATAAGGAATCAAAAATGTGATTGGGATACCCAAACTTATGACTGAGCCAATTAACTTTCCAATGAGATGCGTAGATTATTAGCAGTAACTATATAGAGAGGGCGTGTGTCTGGTAGGTCTGTTCAGTAACCCATCCATGTTGTCAAGTGGAAGAGAAGCAAAGAGAATCAGAAGAACCAATACCTGTGGCACTTCACTGAAGGCTTAGAGACAGAAAAGAGTTCAAGAATACTCATTAGGACTCACAAGATTAGTAAAATTAAAGGCATGTCACAAAATCTTCTAATCACATCAAAGATTATCTTGCAAATCAAATGATAACTCAGATCTTTTATTTTTATTTTTATCAGTAATACAAGCAAATTTCACCCACATGTAGTAAACTTACAGGGCGTTGCTGGCACTCTCCTGTGGACTTGCCAAACAAAACCCCCCCTCATATCTGCCGATGGGCAGGCTGGAGTGTTTGCAGCATAAAGTCCCGTTGCCCCCTGCAGCCCCCCGGTCGCTCATACAGGAGTCTTCTGAGCAGAAGCTCCCGTGACGGGATATCTGGAACTTCTGAGCCTCCTGGAGGATTCGACAAGAAGGCTGCCCGTGGTGGGAGCAGGATGACGGGGGTCGAATGTGCTGCTCTGGAGGAGTGGATGACCCTGCTGTCGCTACTCCTGTAGTGCACGAGTCCTGGCTCACCGACCTCACTCCAAGACCTCGTCCCCATGGAAACCACTGGCAGCCGACTGTGTGGGACTGAGAAAGAGCTGCAGCATCTCTCTCACTCCTTGCTCTACTCGCCTGTCTCCTCTTCGTCTCCCTTTCTGTTCTCTTTGCTGACCTGTCAAATGATACAAAGGCACCAATACTGAGTCAGAACCCAAAGTGTATTCTTCTTCTCAAGACCTAGAAAAGAGAACAAGCCTTTGCTGTTAATGCCCTTAACCTCCTCAACCCCCTTTAGTTTATATTCCATAAATATTGGCAAAATGTGTATAAAATGACACACAAGATATAATAGGACCATTTGATTGAATGGTGCTGCCATAAAAATCAGCATATCTTTGTTATACTTGGTATCGCTACCAGCTCAAAATAACAATGAAAGCCAAAGTGGGTTACAACCTTTATTAAATAGACAATGGCAGAGAAGAAAAACTACACAATTCATTGTTATTTCTCTCTTTTTAAGTCCTTATTATTAGAGCCTGTAGCACTTTTGCAAACTAAACCTAACATGAAACAAATAAAATAACATGAAACAATTAATTTGCTCCTATAACAAATATCAGCATCATCATCAAAGTGTGTTTCTTTCTAACAACGTTTCAGGACTGTTTGGAAATCACAGTGAACCAACTCCAACCACTGCATCCTAGTTAAGTGAGATAAAAAGGACTAACAAATTACCTGTGAGGTGACTGTGGAGTGACCTTTGACTCCTGGCTGGTTCCAGCATCACTGTGATCCTCAGGTTTGACTGTGATGGCTGCAGTTGTTGAATTAGCTCCCAGGATTGGCCTCCTCTTCCCTAAATCAACCTCTCCTGAAATGATGCCCTCCCACTCCGGGTGCCGAGGCCCCGGCGTTGATTGTACTACCAGACTCCGGCCACCAGAGGACGGTGTCTGAACATTAGTGCTCACCACATCAACATAATGAAGTTCACACCAGCTGCTAGAATCTGGCTGTTGGTGGAAAACCACATCCTCTACATCCTGCATCCTCTCCTGAAGCTGCTGCCTGGCCTCTTGGCATCTCAGCCAGGCTATGTTCCAGACCCGCATCCCCCTGGAGCCTCGCAGGGCGCTGGCCTGGGCCTTCACCTCCTGAAATCTCTCTGTGCTGAACTGGAGGAACCTGTCTTGGAAAGTATGGAGGATGGAGCCGTCTGACAGTAAAACACCGGTGGTGGTTGGACCTGAGCCCTGTGTTGTGTGGTTGTCAGACTCTTGGTTCTGGTGTTGTATTAGCTGAGTGTTTGTTTGACTGGCAGATGTTGTAGTCTGGTCAGGGTGTTGCATTGTGTGGATTCTGGATTGACTCTGGTTCAGGTACTCAATGCATTCGCTGGCAAGTGCAGTAGCCTGGAGATTAGGGAGATTTTCTTTTATTACACATTATTACACAAATGTGCATATTCTTAACTTATTTTTTAATATCATGCTACTCTTCCACTACTCTCAGGCAGAAGGGCTGTAACTTGACTCAAATGTTACTAAGGTAGAAAGATGAAAACTTACAATAAATATATATTATATTATGTAAGTAGTGCAGGTGTAACTGTTTTTCTGCTGATTTTTGATTGCATGATGTATAATTTAAAGAAAAACTGGATAAGTTTTCGTGGGCCGAATAAATGAAAAAGAGCTGCATACTGATATTGAATACTAAATGTAATAATTTAATTAAATATTATTTATTAATTAAATTATTATTTAAATAATATTGATCTTACACCAACCTGCTCACAGAAATCACACACGTTGACCATGATCTGCAGCTCTCTGCCACACGCCTCTGCCCTGCACAGGAAGTTCTCTAGGCCTGACTTGAAGGTGCAGACTAGAGTCCTGAATGCCTCAGTCTCTGGGTAGGAGAGTCCACTCTGCTGCAATCGTTCTGCCTCTGACACTAACGTCATGGCATGGTGCCTTCGGTCCTGAAGAAGGAGGGAGAGAGAGAGATTCAGACAGGTGGACAGACAGAGAAACACAAACACAGACAGAAAGACAGCAGCAAGAAAACCGTAGACTCACATTAGCTTCAATAAGGAAACCAGTGAAGCTGTTGAGAAACTGCTCCATTCTGTCTCCAGAGTCCTCGACTGATTCAGCCTGCAGCAGGTGGCGCTCTCCTTCTACATTAAACCACTGGTGCATCTGGAAAAATGAAGGATGATATTGATGTTTTATAAAGGGCGTATATGTGAATACTGCATCTCCATCACTGAGGCCGATGCAATATGTATCTCGATGCACTGTCAACGATCCAATACATTAAAGATACTTGTGAAACTACCAACGTACTACGATACAATTCTCCCATATTAAGATAGTGTGATTTGACACAATTAGATTTAAATATAAATTAATTGTTCACAAATTATTGGTCACATTTCTAAATAATAAAGACATAGTGCTTTTACTAAGAGTTTTTTACTAATGCAAAAATGATAGAAAATCAATACACACTTTTTTAAGGAGGAATTTTGGAATGAGGTTTGATCTACTCCTCACCATATCCACATGGTAAGTTATTTTCATTAGATTGCTGGGCCTTCATGAACTCAGGGACTGTAATGTCCATTATGGTCCATAACTGCCATTACTGCAATTACCAAACATAATATAATTTGTAAGTTGCTTTTATTGGCACATCTGTCAGCAGATTTCATGGTAAGCTATTATAATGTACCTGCATGAAGTGTCCCTCCATCTCTCTGAGTTGCAGCAGATACTCCAGGTGTTCCAGTGACATGTTGGACCTTTGCACGAGCACGTGAGCCTGCTCCTCCACATGGTTGTACAGGCTGGTCACAGAGTCCACAGCATCACTGCATGAAGGAAAAAAACACAGATCATAGGCTAAAGACAATAAAATAAAAAAACAATAAAATGAATAACTGGTGTTCTGGAAGAAGATTTGAATGGAGGATAAGACAGCATAAGCATTACTCAGTTTGAATAACACAGGCTCATACACTAACTGGGAAAAACTGGCTTAAGACAGTTTACTGTGGCACAGAAACTTTTGCTTATCAGCTTTGGCACAAAGTCAGATGTTGAGTGTTACAGCTACATTTTGATCTCAAAATAGTACAAATATGATGGTGTGTCCTCCTCACAAGCACAATAGACTACAACTGGAACATTTGTTTCTGTCCTGTGGTGTGGTGGTTGGCAGGAACATGTTTAGTCACGTGGTGTATTTTCTAGCAGCAAGAATATTCAATGACAGGGTATCAAATCTTGTAAACAAATTGACAATATCTGGGTTGTTGCGTACAGACAAATGTAGCAAGTGAAAGCAGGAGATTTTACCTGAGGTCCTCACAGTGGGGATATTTGAGGTCACTCTCCTTCCGCAGCCTCGCCAAGATGGCCCCGCCCTCCCTCTGCAGACTGACCAATCGGCTGTCCTCCAGTACATCCCTCATCAGAGTCCTCTGGTCCATCATGCATTGCTGCACAGTCTGTTAGACACAAAGCAATATTATGATCAGCAAATGATACAATAACGTTGATATGACTTTGCTGCTTTGTGTGAAGATCATCTAAAAAGAGTGATCAATACTTTCATATACAAGAAGCTATTATCCTCATAACACACACTGTACTGTATTATCAGTGAAGACTTTAGAGTTACATCATTCAGGGTAAACTTTCAGGCCCAAAGAGAATGAAAAGGATTAAGTTACCTGTACAGTGTCCGTCCTCTGGGGCTCCTCCAACCTACTGATTGCTCTCAGTAGGTGGCTGGACGCCTCATGAAGGTCAGACACAAAAGGGAAGAGTTTCTAGAAAATAGAGATGTGGACAAGAGTAAATCATGAGCACTGAAGAAACAACTACTGCAATACCTTATTAGAGAGAGGAGAGGTAATCTACTGATGTGACTGTCTCACCTGGTGCAGCTCCATCCAGTCACAGTGGCTGTGAGTCAGTGTGCCATCCAGGCTGGAGCTCAGCTGACTCACCTCCACCAGCTTTAACAAGGCTTTCATTGACGTCACCACTTCAGTCTGCTTTGCGGCAACAAGTGTATAGTTATACAAGTTATACATTTTTCTGCAATGTTGTTTATCAACTTGTTTGAATTCTAAAATGTGTTAATTTCCTTAAATGTATTAGCTTCTTTGTGTGCTGAAATAAACTGGAACCCTGAAAGTGCTCCACAGCACAAAGTCACAACGTAGTGTCTGACTGGGTTGTTCATCAATAACCATGATTATTTGACAAGTTTTCAAGATCTCTACCTTTGAAACCTCACTTTTTAATTAATATTCTGGTTTTAGAGCCAAACTAATATTTTAGGCACAAAATCAGAGGGTCCACTAACCCACTGCTGGTATTTGCTCTATGTGACCGGGCCCAACAGGTCATCAGTAACCCATTTTGTTTTTGCTCATACAGTATTTTTTCTTCTTTCTTCAATTAATTACAAATTGTATATTCAATGTACAGTATACTCAATATGGGTCCAGTTCTCCTGATTATGGTGCTAAAGCAACATTTAAAGTTAAAGGTTTTTCATCTAATGGGGAAAATATACGATAGTCTTTAAAAAAAAGTCTGTAACAATTTGCATCAAGTATTTTATCTAATTTGTTTGACAACTGGTTAATATTCTAGCCTATTTAATGCAAACATAGTAAATTGTTATGGCTCCTAAAGATGATAGTCGGGTGATGTTGAGATATTTCACTGTAAGTGAAAACTTTGGCCTGCTGATGGCACTATATGAAAAATGTTATGATAACAAAAAACATTATTAGATTTCATCCTCTGGGGACAGTGAACGTCTAATTATCATGGTAATCCAAGATATCTTTATCTCTGGACCAAAGTGATGAGCCAACAAACCAACAGACAACTGCCGTCTGTAGAGCCACGCTGCTAGCAAAAACATGCTTGGATCAAAGAGGTCAATGAAGCGTGTAGCCTGCTCAGATTAATTACGTTTCATAGGAAACCAAATTAAGTTATTTATCAATATGAAGTGTGTTATAATGAAGGGTGAAAAGCTGACCTGGGTGCCAGGACACCTCTCCGGCCGAAGGCTGCTCTCCTTGTCCACCAGCAGCACGAAACTGTTTACTGCCTGGGGAATCTGCTCCTGTAACAGTTAAACAGTCTATAAACTGATCATAAAATTGATTATTACAAATAAATTATAATACAGTCAAAAACAAATAGACATCAATGGAAATTAACTTCTTTCCGAATTTTATAAAGTAAGTGGGACTGTAGAAAACAGTAGAAAACTTCAGACTTAATTATGAAGTCAATAATCAATTTAGTAAAAACCATCCTGTATATTATAAAATATTGTACCTGTGATTACAAATAAGCGATTTACACAATCACACATAATTATTATTATTATTCAATAAACTGGACATCTGGATTAGCTGTTTATCCTCAGGATCTGATACATTATTCAGCTTTGACATTTCACTGAGAAAAACATAAAAACATCAGTGCTCCACAGCAGTTCAGTCGTGAAAAAACACCCAAACTCTGATCTGCTGTACTCCGCTCTAATAAGGACGTTTCTGTGCTTCTTACCTGAAATGTCATCAAGGCTTTATAGAGCTGCGGTTGAGGATTTGTCTTCCTTGAATCAAAAAGGAGAGTCATCCCAGCTTCTCTGATTTCTCTCCTAGATAAACATAGAAAAGGAAATTAGTCCAGTAACCACAATAAAAATGCCATGACCACCAAGGTGCTAAAACGTCCTTCCAGTATGACTTTAAATTTACAGTTTGTTTCAAGCATTGACTCATTCATGATGGACTGGCATATGGATGTTACCTGGTGATAGAGTGGAAGTAGAGCAACATCTTGAAGAGCTCCTGGCTTGTTACAGCTGAACTCCATCCCTGGTGGTCTCCATAGAGTTCAACTATTGCCCTGCCTGTTCGGTCTCTGCCACCTGAAGCAAAGATCAGTCAAACCATTACATTAAACCGTTACATGGTTATTCTGTTTTTTTAGAACAAGATAGTTTTCATGGTTTTCACTTGAATTTTCAAAGAAAAGAAAGAGGCTCATAAGATCTAAAGCGAATGGACAAATGCAACGCTAACTAACACGAGCAGAGGAAAAAGGAAATCATACAGACCAAAAAACTGTGCAAAACAGCAAAGTTAAGAGAGACAGAGAGAGCCAGAGCTACTGTAGGTAAGAAAAACAAATGTTCAAGATATTAGAAAAAAATAAACAGATTAATAACCACGACCAGCCTTTACAACCTGTATTACTCCCACAGACTGATACTGTTAATACTACTATTATTAGACATCAATTACATTTATAATAAACTTTCTTCTTGCTCTTCTTTTGTATTTTGAGTATTTTTAATAAAATGTGTTTCTGGTATTAATAACTAATTTAACACAGATATTTTACCTGTGAGAGAGGCTACTCCTAAATAGAGGGGGTGGGCTCTCGGGTCTGGAGATCCCAGGGGAAGGTGGTCAGGTCTGGGACGAGCAGAGGCATGCTGGGAGATCTTGTGCATCTCTACTGCTGGAGGTGGATCTGTCTGTGATGGGTTCTCCGTCTGATGGCCATTTCTACTGGTAATGGACGTATTGCCAGGCTGAACACCATCTGCAGAAAGTGTATACATTTTGTTGTGGGGAAGCAGATGAAGACTGATTATCATCTGATAGTAAACAGTAATGAAATTAACCTAAAAACCTCCAAGCTAAAGATTAAATTACAGTACAACATGTATCACTCTGTACCTGGAACAACCATCTTCCTCCTGTTGATCTTCGGTGAAACCAGTCGAAAGGCTGTGCTGTTTTTACATTTGACCACATGCAGCTGGGGAATCTCTGCACAGGAGTCTTTACTTTCTTTTCTCCTCACATTTTGACCCTCAACAATGACCAGCTCACACTTCTCTGAGGTATCCACCACAGCTGTGGAGAGGGATGAACATCTTCCATCTGACAGGGATTCCCGTCTGTTCTGTGTCGCTGATAGAGACTTAGAAAAGTTTGGACTCACTCCCATGGAACTGGTTCTGCTTTGCATTCTTTCCCGAGGTTTGAGGGTGAGGTTCATTGCGGAAATTTCACTTGAACTAAACGGTAATCTGTGGTGTTTTGCAGAGTTCACATCTGACTGTTTAGGGTCATTTAAGCTTGACAAAGCTTTACTAGCGTTTATCCTTGTTCTTGCTTCTAAATTTGTCCCATTCACATTGTGTAAATTGCCATAAGTTGTGGTAGAGTGTGCATCCCTTGGTTCCCTAAATGGCAGAGTGGTCCTTTCAGTTGTCTGCTCTGGTAGGCCACCAAATTGTAAAACATTGGTTCCCCTGTAATCCATACAGGGGGCAATGTTTGTATCTCCTGGTTTCCAATACGAAACACTGTTAGTTTCTCCTGACTCCTTACAGATGGCTCCACTGACAGAGGAAGGAGACTGGTGATGCATCCCAGGATCAAACCACATTCCTTGAACATTACACCATGGATCCCCTGTTTCAGTCTCTAGTAGTTTGTCATCACACTGTGAGAAGTCACCATCCTCCTCCACCACAGCTAACATATCCCCCCTATCTTTCTCCTGTCCAAAGGTGACAGGGTTTTTTATAGCAGCCTGGTAGGAGTCCCTGTATCGACACCTCAGCTCCTGAGCTTTGGAAACCTTTCCACCTTGTCTTCTCCTCATGCACGGGGTACAGGGTTTCTCTGAGAACCGGACAGTGCGGATACACTGAGAAGGTTCAAGCGAGTCAGGGTGAGGGTGATGGGACTGGGAATGGTGGAGAGTGGATGGAGGTCCTGTTTCTGCAGACATGTTGGGTCTTAATGATACAGCCTCTGATCTAGAATGACTTTGTGGCTTTGTAGGTAACTGCACATGTGCTTGTGACTGCGCTTGAGGTGGTATCTGTGTGTTATGCTGTCTTTGTGTTTGCCTGTACGACTCCATTTGTGCATGTGGCTGCATTTGTGCTTGTCTGTGTGGATGTCTTTGCATTTGTGGTTCAGTTTTTGTGTGTGGTTGCATTTGCATTTCTAATTTCTGCTGTTCTTCAGAAACTGACTGAGCTCTACCAAAAAGCATAGTTGCCTGCAGAATATCAATATATTCCCCTTCTGCAACAACGTGGCCAGCTGGCACACTCCTGCTAATATCTTTAATATTTGTACCTTTATGTTTATCTTGCCTTATGTTTTCAGAAACTATTATACCCTTATCTTCACCTTTGCACGTATTGGTATCACCACTTGCAGGGGTGCATTTTCCTGAAACAGTGCTTGTTTTTGTGGTTGTATCTGTCCCAGTAAAGCAGCTGTCCCACATATTAGGGGACACCCAGCCAATAGGCTTAGTCTCTGTTTCAGTCTCTTTCACTTTGACCAGCCTAGATGAGGAAGCAGCTCTAGTATCAACCAGGCAGAGTGACACAGCAATGCCGTGCTTTGCTGGACATATTCTGGTCTCCACAGAGAAGGCAGAGGGATGTGAAGAAGATGTTAAAATTGAATTTTTAATTGTTACAGGGTACTGTTTTGGTGCAGATTCCTTCAAAGGAGAAAGTGGAAATGAACAATTTGATGAAGAGTTCTCAGAAACATGAGGAAGAGGTGGAGGATGAGGAAGTGGAGGTGGTAAAGGAGGATATGAAGAAGGAGCAGAGGCCATACTACTCCCAGCACACGTTGGCACGTCCACAAATTCAGGCACGGCCACCCGTTCCCATGGTAACCTCACCACGCCTTGCTCAGTGGCGAGCAGGCATTGGCTGAGAGGCGTTCCATGGCGGCCCTGGTTAATCTCCTGTAACCAGTCACGGCTGAATATACAAGGATAGGAAGTTTCAGGTATTGGGGTCTCCTCGACTACCTCTACTCTAAGTCCCTCCTCTTCCAGGAGGCTGCACACCACGATGCGAGCTGACTGGTCACAGAATGGCGCCACTTGGAGGTAAAAGTCACCTGGCTGAAGTAGCAGGGGGTTGATGGGAGCAAGGTGGATGACAACTTGGTCACGCAAACATAGAGGCCAGCCCTCACACAGGAAAAGTACATCAGAGTATTGAGCCTAAAAGGGGACAAAGGACAATGACAGTACAGGGTTTCAGAAATTAGAAGTATATCAATATTTTCATTATGATATATATATATATATGATATCTTAGGGCAGCTTTACTTCATATAATTAAATGTAGTGAATGTATGTCTCTTTAGATTTATAAGACAGCGACTTACACATGCAGCCTGCTGCACAGTGTCTAAAATGTGCTTGGCTGGGACTAGAAAGTCCAGCAGGCACCGCAGGGCATCCCCCTGATAACGACTGTCGATGATTTGGAAGAGCTGGCTGAGAAGAGTAGGGGCGGTGGCCTCAAAGGGCGGGTACAGCACCGACAGCAGGTTCTGGATCGAGCCCTCAAGAGAATCAAGATTCTGAAAGCACAACAGAGAGAGAAAGCAGAGGAAGAAAAATTAGTTTGAGATCTTACTGGTTTATTATCATTTCCCAATACACAAATTAGAAGGTAGACAAGCCGTGATCTGTGGGTGCTACGCAGACACGCACTACTCTGACAACTTGTCATTTACTCCAAATCGTTATATCACTTAATATGTTCTCAAATTTAAGATCAGTGTTGTAAACATAACCTCTGCTGTCCTTGCACCTATTTATGTTAAACAATCAGCAGTGGAAGAGGATATAAACAAGCCACTGCAGTCATACAACATTTTTATCCTAAATTCTAAAAGCTAACGATGAAGCATTATTAACTACAGTAAGTAGTTACTAGTTTCTTAAGGATGAAATGTCTTTTATGCCTTTTGAATAAAATATTTATGCTGAATCCATACGGCTGCAACTGACAGATAATCTGTAGCTACATTCTTAACCCATTAATATACTATTATTTCTCCAAAGAAAATAGTGAAAATTGCAACTTCCAGAAGCCCAAGGAGAAGTCTTTAGATTGCTTGTTTTGTCTAATCAGCAGTCCAACAGATTTATTTTCATTCATTCATTTACAATGATATGATACAGTGAAACAAAGAAAATTTTCACATTTGAGAAGCTGGAACCAACAAATATTTGGCATTTTTGTTTGTTAAAATTACAGATAATATATTATTAAAATTGTTGACAAATTTCTGGCAATGTATTTATTAATTTAATCGTGTCTCCTCTATTGAAATTGTGACTTTATAATTTATGTGAACTATAAATGTAGTCAAAAAACATTTACTTAAAAAGGACCACTGTGTAGGTTTTATTGTCATCTACCGGTAAAATTGGAGATTTCAACCCCCTCTTCTCACCCTCCTGTGCCAAGCACATAGGAGAAACGGCTCATTGTAAGGTAACGAAAACATAATATTATATTATTATTTTCAGGTGATTGTACACTAATGAAAACATACCTGTGAATATTATATTATATTTCAGTCAATAGATCCTTCTAAATATTACACACTGGAGCTTTAAATCCCCTGTAATGTGCAGTGCTGCTACACAACAGAAAACCTGGAGTCAGTCACTTTCATCTCACTGGCGTCTCACAGTAAATTACACAGGCCTTGTCCTCAACCTCATGACCCGCTGAGAGAATAGCTACACAAACACAAACACTCTGTGCTCATCATTAAACATATAGTCAGCGAGCCTGACAGCAAACATCCAAGTAAACACAGTGTGTGATGGCTGGTCTCAAGGCTAGCTAGCCTCTTGGTTTATGGTTTCACATTCCCTTTGACCTGAACTCATGGCCCGCTACCCACTTTTAGGCCCTGCTTTATTTAGCCCAGCAAAGGCCACAGCAGCAGACCTCAAGGGTTATTGTATATACATGCATGGCTGAGGCTCTGTGGGGAAATATATGGCATCAGGAAGGGTGATGTGTGAATGTCGGGGCATTGCATGAACATTGCTGCCCTTTTTTCCCCCTCAGGCATGTGTTCAGTTTTTCAGAGTCGGTGTGGGAGAAAGAAACATAAAATACACGTGGAAATGTTTCTTAGTTTAAAATCTTCATGTCTTTAGTAAAATTAATCATTTAGGTTAAAGGAATTTCAACATTTTCAGAACTACATTTAATGAGAAGATCGAGAGAGATCAGTCTCATATCTGTTCGTTAAAATCATTCCCAGCTGTGGTGATGAAGAAAGACAGAAATGGATGTAGGGAGATGGAGACAGAGGAGGGTGTGTTAGGGTGTGATGAATTATGTCCCCTCAGACTAACACTGGCTCACTGCCTCTCCAACTCTGTTATCTGTTGTGCATCTCCTTTCCTCGCACCATTGAAGAGAAAAAATGTAGCACTCTTGGTCTTTACAATTGGACTCGCTCACTAAACTCTGTGTATATATTCGTTGTTTCTTCTGCTTCTGGCAGTTCTCATGTTTTTCTCTCAAGCAACAATGGTCATCCAACCTCTCTGTCTAATCCCCTGACATTATGATCTAAAAATGCTAGACTCTCAGCCCCCAAAGCTCCAGAAACAACACTGTGACTCAGAGCTTTCTGGTCAGTCCTGCCCCACCCCGCTGGGATAAAATACAGTGATGGTCATCGTGATAACATGAAGGAGAAGGGGGAGGAGAGTAATATAAACAGTGGTGGAAGTTATCAAGAGGAGGATGCAGATGGCTAAGGAACAAAATATGTACTGTAAGCAAATTCAGCTCATAGCTCATAAAATCTTAATTAAATGCTTTCCCATCCTGGAGACAATGATCACCTGCTTCATCAATGTTTTTTTTTCTTGGCAGCTCGGAAATTGCAGAAATTCTAATGAATTTGATCTTAAGGAGAAAATTAAATAGGGACGTTGGTTGGGTCCCCTGGCAATGATGACAAATGATATACATGCAAAGTCTAGAAAGCCTTTGGAGTGAAATTTAACTTGCAGTGTATTAAAACTGCTGGTAATATGAGTCAGGTGTGAGATGCAAGACACATCATCACCAGTTACTGTATGTCTGCGTACGAGAATACATGTAAAGCTGACTTGCTGTTTCCAGTATAAATGCCGTGTTAAGTGTGTTCTTTTATTTATGTGTTTATTTGTGTCTGTCTTCAGTATGTGGTGTATGAGTGGGCTGTATGGACCTGTCTGTCTTCCCGGGCCAGCATACTGTTGCTGCAGATTCACATGGCTCTATATAAACACCCAGATCGCTCTCTCACTCAGCCACTGAAAGAAATGGCGATGCTCACATGACTGTGGATAAGATGTCCCAGTGCGGGAGCTGAGGACAGTCTGAATATCTCTGTCCAGTATCATTATGAAACAGAAATAGTCTTTGTACATTCCTGATGTCAAACAAGCCTGCCTGGACAAGAACAAAATATTTAACAATGAAAAAAGGAAAGCATGCACGGTGACTTAATACATTCCTCTGAGACATTTATTCTCTAGTAGAGTATGTTCAGTTATGTTTTCTGGCCAATTAGCCTTTTTTATTTGATTGTATCTGGTAGAAAATTATAGGAAATGTGGGAAGAGGCAGTGGTGATGACATGCACCAGGTCCATGGCTTGACCTTTTACCAAGGTTGTTGCATGGTACAAATCCCTTAACCAGGACGACCCCAACTGTGCCATTAGATGACAAATTGTTTCCAAAATCATTAACTAATTTCATTCTTGGTAAAAGATGTGGACAAATTATGTCCTGGAAAGAATAAAAACATTGACATTGTATTTATGAGAAAGGAACTTAATTTCAAATTCAGCAGTATTTGGTTCCAAATATGACAATTTCCATGTCTGCAGTCAGTAGTTAATAATTTAACTTAATAATAATAATATTAATAATAATAATAATAACAATAATAATAAATACAATAAAAACAACAACAATATTACTACTTTTTAAAATTACTTACTGTACCTCCCCTCCGTTTATGAGTCCAGTGATGTATCCTCACAAATATTCACATTGTGTAATACTATGTATACAAGATGCCTGAGAAATATGTGAAGCACAATAAGCACAACTGATGTGATTTGGCCGAACTTCAAAGCCTCTACAGACACTGATACTGCCTCTAAATAAGCATGAAAAGAATCCATTTCCTGTGTTTACATCTGTAGTTTTTAATCTTTAAAATAAAAAAAACAGATTCCCCACTGGATTACACAAATTACTTAAAATGGTTTTCCTGCTGCCCACACAAAGACAAGCTGAGGGACAGACATTGATTAAAATAATAAAAAAAGAGTTCTTGCTTTCCAATTGGATTTCTTTGACTTTTGACTTTGACTTGTTTTTAGGTTGAAATGATATTCTTTTCCAATTGGTTTGACAGATGACTGTGTGTATGTAATCCTCCAACTGGACATGAAAGGAGAAGACATCTAGGATACTTATAAAGCCACGTCTGTTATCTTCAGATCTCACCTGTGTGTCCTCTTGCTGTGCCCAATTAGAAGACAAATCAGAGGAAGTATACGTAATATAACTTTTAACCTCCTGATACATTCATAAATACTGGTGGATAATCTTTAGATGCTGAGTCAGTGAGGAGTCAAGGTTGGGAGGATGGAGGATGCATCAGCTAAATTTCTACTGGCTGCAGGGGCACTGTTCTATGTCCGACCTCTTACCTTCCTGTGGGGGAGGGAATGCAAAGAGAAACTACTTATTTTTCCGAACTAATAACATCTACGCATCCATCAAACTTCTGGAGATTTACTTGAAGTTTCTGGACAAGACTTGTTCAGCAAGTTTCCCACCTCACCATTCTCAGTCTCAGAAATCTCATTCTTCATTCATAAACTCAAATGTCACATACTATTGATAGTCAGAGATCACTTCTCTCCACATGTTTAGACTGAGGTTGACCCTGAACTGTTATATTAAGTTATAACAGTTATATTATGTTATTTTTTTTTTTTACAGTATTTAACATGAGAAAAGGTGAGAGGAAAGGTTTTTAGCAAAAGAGATTGATGACACAATGTGTATTTTAAGTTCATTATGTAAAAGTATTTTGATAATTAACTGAAATTAACAACAAAACAATATTAAAACTAAAAATGTGCATTATTTTTGTTGAGGAGCATATTCTATCGTTTTAAATCCCTTTTGTTTAGAAATGTGTGGGATTTTAACACTCCATGTAAGACAATACAACAAAATCCTCCTAGACAGACTTTTTACATCTCCATCGTCTTATTTTCAGCAGGAAGGACTCCCTTGCTAACATCTACGTCACGGCGCTCTGATGAATGGCTGTTTTCAGCCTGCTACTCTGTGGAGCCATTCACTGAAAATGACAACTTTCTGAATGACAACAAACCATGACCAGGAAACACCCATAGTGACGGACAATCTTAACTATTTTGTAAATTGGAGGAAAATTCAATTGTGCTGTAAACGGATTAACGCTGATGGTGACAAACCGCAGGACAATCAATAGAGCACAGGAGTGACTCACACCAGACGTGGTGCAAAATGTAGTGGTGCTGAAGAGTCTCTTTGTTAAAACAGATAGATGAGATTCTTTAATGGTGAAGAAGCAACGTGTTGTCACATTTTCTGAAGTTCAATTGTAAATTAAATCTACAAATAAAAAAATAAAACTTTAAGCATTATTTTAAGCAACTACAAATTAACTAGCATTATGAAGGCAGCACTTTTACTGTCTCAGTTAGTGTTTGTCTTTTGTGTCTTAAGACCTATTTAAGAGATTTATCCTCAAATTATCTAATCTAATTATCTAATCTTTTTTTTCTTCACTATATAACATATTATAATTGGATATTACAACAAGCATAAATGATTAAATCAGAAGGACCATGCCCTTGCTTTAACGATTTTATTAGTTTCTTGGCTCCCTACATTGTTGCTGCCTTATACAACAGCCCAAATAGAGATTTGAGATGAATACACACCATATCAGATCTTTTATGGTTGCCCAAAAACATCTGTTATCTCTTCTGAGCATTTTTATGTAAATAATTTACTATCCCATGCTATTTACAGCTTGGAAATCTGCAGCAGGAAAAGAGATTGCTCAGGGAAAAGGTACCAAATGGATGTACCTAACACACCGTTGTACCTTTTAGTCTAAAGGTGCAGCTTTTAGGCTAAAAGGTACAAAAAGAGTTACAAAAGTTTCTTCTTTCTCTTTATCGGTTTTCTTTTTCTGAGTGCAATATCTTGTGGCTCTCTACCTCAACAAACCCGATGATACCCGTAAACGAGCACAAACCAAATTACTCTGAGGTCGGACATAAACACAGGCTGAGTAGAGCTACTGTACATGACCACTGAGGCACCGAGATTGCCAGACGGTATATTTAGTAGCTTCACGGGGATCAGCAAATCGGAGCTTGCGGAAGGCAAACACTAATCATGACAGCCTTGATCAGCAGGACGGTTTGAAGGTGGCTGTAAAGTAGCAGTCAGGAGGCAGCGAGGCCTGTGTTTAAGTCGTTAAAAACACGTCAGGGAATTATGAATGAGCCCGAGACTTTGAGCATGTCTTTAAACTCATCACAAGTGAGTTGACGTGTCTGCGCCGTGTGTGTGCGAGGCGTGCTATTATATCAAAGTGTGGCTTAGCTTTCACTGACACACTCATCTTATCTGTAATTAGCCCACAGCTGTGCTTAATGTAACTCACACCGGCGGATTTCATAACAAACAGCCAGAAACGATCACTTAGATACGGGAAAAACAGGTGAAAACACAGAGGGGCTCGGCTCAGTCATGCTAATCAGACCTAACATCCAACTATATGACATCAAATCTTTCAAATGTATAATAAAATCCTAAAATTGAAGACACACACGGATCAAAATATCACACTTCATGCAAAAACTTTGGCTGAAAAACACTATTAGAAATTTTAGAAAGAAGGGAGGGAAATGCTCAGAGAGTAAAAATTAAAACTCTTTGCAGTTGTCCACACCTATCAGAGTTCAGCACTTTGAACACAGCTGCTTCAGAGACACATCTGCTCAGTCAACACATCAACCCAAAGTTACTTTCACTAAAAACATCTTTGTATCATCGGACACATTGCTGCGTACTCTGAAAGCAGATGCCGCCTAGTGCCTCCCCACCAAAGCAGCATAAACGAGTGGGCTCCAGGTAAAGGCAGGGTGATGATTTGTAGTTTTGCAAACAGATCTGTTGAGCTAACTGTAGTGTATTTCCATTGAATCACCAGAACGGGACAAGACGTCTTTCTGCTGAGAGAAAAAGGATGCTCTGTATAACCTGGTCAACACAGGAACAAATACCCAAACATTGAGGTCACTCCCAAAACAGGAATAGTCGAGTTAATGACTCTGGCTTCAACGACATGGCAAATATGCAGGAAACAGGGCGGGAAAATCACAGCAACACACACACACACACAGTGTCCTGCCAAATCAAACCTACAGGAGAGCTGGGCGGGCATTTTAAAATTCAGCTCTCTACATAACATCCTCCCAGTCAGAGTGGCAAACAAAATCTACTTTATGTGCAACCGGGCACACCCTCTCTGCAAGCGAAGCAGACATAACAACACGTAGAAAATACATACATTCAGAAATGTCTTCATGTAGGCGGAGATTCTCAACAGGCCAAAATAATAAAAGAATTAACTTTCCAGATTTAAATCCATACATCAGACAGCACTGATTTGTAAAATCCACCTCCCTGATGCTGTTTCCTTACACCAGATCCGTTCAGCTTCTGCATGACTCACATGCCAGTAAATGGGTATCCAGGAAGGAGGCAGATACAGTGGCTGGTTTGTGAAATCTGCCTTAATGCTCTGTAACCTGAGACCTTCACCTTGAGTCAAAACACTCTGGCAGAGAGCAGCAGCCAGTGTAAGCTATGGGAGCTATGCTGTACGTTGCACACAGTCAGTACATGCATTTTTTTTAAAATAAAAGGCTACTTGTCAAATAATAAATAAATGTACTATAAAAAGGAGAGGGCAGTAACTGCCATGTCTTAAATGTTAGATGAAAATTCTACACAAATGAATCATTTAGTTCATGTTAAAAGAAGCACGGTGTGTATTATAACATGTTTTTTTATTTTATAGAATCTCATCATCTTGTCATCTTCAGGCCATCTATCAAAATTGTTGTCAATTCATTTTCTGTTGATAGACTAATCCATGAATCAACTTGTTGCTTCATCACTAAAGATGTTATTCAAGACTCTCGAGTCACCTTCTAAAGTAGGAGTAACATAAAGCACCTCGCCCTACGCTGTCATCTCACAGAAAGGTATATGACAGGAAAATGATGGATTATGAGTTGAACGCCAGGAAGCTGAAACTCCACAGGACATCCAACACCTTCAGACAGGTTGGTATAATACTGTCATATAAGTACAAGCTCAGGATTATTAGCAGAATAAATCATCACCAAGTGTCTAACAACTCTTACCCTGTAAGTTACAGCATCTGTGTATCAATCAATTCTGCAATGTTAATTAATAACTACACATTTTCAGTGAGTAATTATTAAACTTTGATTCAATAGTTATCGTAAATAACCTAAAGAAAACAACAACAAAATCCTGTGTTCACTCTGAACAAAGAACAGGATGGAAGCAAACAGAGCAGATTGTCATATTACCATCTTCCTTTCTGCAAGCTGTCATTCCCATTCATCACAACAGCAGCGGTTTCTGAAATAATCCAAACGGCATGATAGTCAACAGAGCTACTTCTCCTGCTCAGCGGCTGTTGGACCAATATGAAATCCATTCTGCCGAGACACTCGTTCACAGCTGAGTGAGTGAGGACAACCTTAAGCCAGCTGGATGAGCATTCGTCAAGTCTTTGATTTCTCTTGTTTCCTCTCTCTCTCTCTCTCTCTCTCTCTCTCTCTCTCTCTGTCTGTCTCTCTCTGTCCTGTGATTTACTGTGTTCTCTCTGC